CATACTGGGGGTTGGTACAGTGTGGAGATCAGACCTGCATGTGAAGGATTGGGCCACTGATGTGGCTGCCTTCATACCTGGCAAGCAGAGGAACCAGAACTGGGTGTAGAGTGGGAGGTACAGAATTAGATAAAAACCACATGCCTACCACCTCTGAAGCCCTGCTGTGCCTGTTGCTACTCACACTCTGCAGCAGGTGAGATGTAATGGGATGAAACTGTGTGAAGGGCTGTGGGGGCAGAGCTCTCAGTGTTGAGCTTCACAGGTGTAGCCAGAGCTCTTTCTGAATAGCTTTGCATGTTCCTAGGAAAGCATCAGGTAAGAAGTACTTCTCACTGGTGTGTTCTGCACCAGTAATAGAGAATTTATTTACCCACTGGTTTATCAGATGGGTGACAACACTGCTTCCTCCTTTACACTAGGGGAGCTGTAGGTGTGATGTACCTGCTTGGTGACCACAGATCACACTCTAGCTGATAACGTGGCTCCTTCTGAGGGAAAGGCCACCCACAGACGGGAGCACCACTGTCAATTAACAGTTCCTGCTTTATCTTTGTTTATTCTGGGTCACCATAGAGAGACTGGAAAAGCACTACAGCACCCCCTAACAAGGTGGGATCTCTGGCTAGAGGGGTTCAGTGCAGTTCTGGGGCTCTGCTGCCTGTTTGGTGAATACACTGCCTTTTTGGAGAGTGTGTGCAATCCCTTTCTCTGACTTTCCCCTGCAGGTTTTTCATGGAGCAGAACAACCGCATATTCCAGACGCTGCTGGAGGTGTCAGCCAGCCAGGACAAGACCCTGACAGCTGAGCACGCACGGGGCATGGGCCTGGACCCCCAGGGGGATCGCAGCTTCCTCATGGACCTCCTGGAAGTGTATGGCATCGATGTCATGCTAGTCATTGACAACCCCTGCTGCACTTAAACCAAGGGCAAGAGACATGGGGAGCAAAGATCACTTTTTAAAGACTACTGGACATTGCTTAGGAGGATCACTGGAACTCACCACAGCCACAGTTATTTAATAACTTTATATGGAGAGTATTTATAATTTTAAAACAAAATGTGATTTTATTTTCTCACACTCGACTTCCCAGTGAGTACCTGCTCTAAGGTTCCTTTTGGTTTTGTCTCCCTTTCATTTGTGTTTTTTTGTTTTGTCTAGCTAGGACCAGTGGCACCTTTGCACCAAACCTCACTGTTGCCAGTGATAGCTAGGTTTTGGCCTAGCCTGGATACCTGAGGGCTGAAGACTTCAGGAAAGCACTTTGTTTGATGACAACCAATGTGAAATGCTATAGCTGAGCTTTCAGACTTGGCTGGAAATCCTCCTATCAACTGCCCCTTCCACTTGGGGACTGAAGAGGGCTTTAGCACAAGCTGTTAATGGCCCAGTCTCATAAACAGCTCCTACCAAGTTTATTGGTGGGGACAGTTAAACCAATGATAAGAACCAGGACTCCTTTAAACATTCCTCACCCAACTTTAAGGTGAACTGGAGCCAAGCCACCCTTCCTTGTAAATGTCAGAAGCAAGTTTGGGACTGGGGATGCTACAGGATCTTCTGACTTTGCTTACTGGAGCAGCAGTTTCACTTCCAGCACCTGAGGTGCTCTAAACTGGTAGAGACTGCACCTGCCTTCTCACAGATGGAGAAGAGCACCTCTCTCCTCAGTCCATCCCACCACCACCTTTGGCTTTAGTTGCATCCCACCTGCTGCTTTGGTTTAAAATCTTCAAACCATCAAGATGGTCTCCATTTAACAGGGACCAACATCACTGAGCCACTTTGCAGTCACTTTGTTGTCCAGCCTCAGCTCAGATGATGCTGGGCTGGAGGGGGTAGAATAAGAATGCTTTAACTACTGTCACTAGCCCTTCCTTTGTAGCTGATGGGACTTGTTGCTCCTTTGCTTTAACACTGTCTGCTAATCCTCCTTTTGTTGAGCCTTCAGCACTGCCTGCTGCTGTCCCTGGCTTTCTGTGTGAGACAGAGAACAGACCTTTCAGCTGGAACAACTGAAGTTTGCAGGAGGTTCCCTTGGAGTTTGGTATTCTTATCTGGCACACCTGCTAGGAGCAATGTTTAAAACCAAGTCTGTCTCTTTTTCTGGGCAGAGCTGTAGAACCAGATGAAACAGATGTTTTCTCATGCTTTTGAAAGAACAGCATTCAGTTCCTGCAGGACTAGTCATTACCTCCAAAAAGGCTGTCCCAGTAAAGAGGAACCCCTTTGCCATACAAAATCCAAGAATGCTACTGTGGGTTCTATATGTGACATACAGCTTTGCTCCAAATCCTTCAGCCAGTAGCAATATCAGCTTTAAGCTGACTGTTCTTCCTGAACTCTGGCTATAGCTGATTAGTTGCTGCTTCTATCATTACAGATTTGAGCACCCTTGGAGGTCTTTCTGTGCACTGTAGGAATGCAAACTGTAGCTCATGTATCCATTTGTCCCAGCATTTTATAGGATGAGACAGAGCCTGAACCACTAAAGCAGGCAAGCACCTTTTTGAAACAGGTGAAGCAAATGTTCTCCAAGCACACCCTCTGTGGATTGTCTCCCTCTGGAAAGGAGGAGGTAATTGTTCCTACAATTTGCCTGTCTCTGAGCAGTCACTCCCCTAGGTGCTTTTTCAAGGCTTTGGGGTGTTTTTGTACAGAAGAAAATATACTGTTGTTCATACTATCAATTGCTCACAACAACTGGAACATCATCCTTAGAAGGTTGGGGAAAAAAAATGTAGAAAGAGGTAAAAACAGCTGAGTATCATTTAATGGAAAGAGCAGTCTCTTTTCCTTAAGAAATGGCTTTGTTTTTAAATTGACACCTGAAGTAGAAAAGTGGCCCACAACCTCCACACTTTTTTTCTCTAACTTCCACTTCAGTTTTAACATGCTGCCTGCAGTGATGATCGCTGAGGAAGTACAGCTGAGCTGCCCTTGTATTGCTGTCACTTCTCCAGACATCAAAAGAAAACCAGAACTGAAACTAGTCACAAGCAATTCTCCTCTCACTTTCCTGAAGGTTTGCTGCATGGTTTAGCTGTAATCAGTTGTTAATGACTTTCTATTTTCTTTGTCAGTAGTTCTTTTGCTAAACTAAGCAGAAACAAACCTTTGATTTAATGTTGAAATGTTACAGTCACTGCAGTCAGAGGCTTTCTAACACTCTGCATTAGAGCAGTGTTGTTTACAAACTGTTGTTTGAGTAGATTGCACTGACATAGTCCACTGAGCAGAAGCTACTGAAATTCCTATTTGACTTTTAGTAAACCTCTGCTGTCCAGAAATCAGGTCCTCAGTTGTTAGCAGTAGTATGGGTGCAGCAGCATCAGAGCAGATTGCTGCAGCAGCATCCACGTGCTACATCCAGTTGGATGGCTGCAGCCTATCTTGTTCTTCCTTGCAATTATGTTCTTCCTTGTAATTGTGCTTCTCTATCAAGGCTCTCTTGGCAGGCAACTGCTACAAAAGTCAGGAAGTTGTCCAACAGAAGACAGAACAAGAAGACTTTTCTCTCCTAAGCCTTCCTTATTTGATTAGCTGCAAAAGTGCTTTCACCTGCACTCCTTTTCTAAAAGGTAGTGCTTTTATTTTTGTCATGCAGAAGGTTCTTGAGAAATGGGTAATGGGTACTTAATAGAAACAAATTGTTATAGCTTGGGACATGAAGGATTGTTCTGTGGAACCAGTGTAACTGAGTCTTATCTTCCCAGAAGATCCCATAATTCAAGGTAAAACAGTTTTGTACAGATATTCAAAATCCCCTCCTGGGCACTCGGTGCTTTGTTTCATAGTAGCAGGTGGGAGATACCTGCTGGGTATGTTTTGAATCAAAAGAGGGATGAAAATGTGGCATAAGACAGGATATTACTGATTTGTCTTCTCCCTTTGCCTTTACAGTGGTGCCTTCAGTTTCTTGGGTGTAAAGTCTCTGGTCAGTTGCTGTGGTCAGAGCCCAGGTTTGAATGGTGGTTACAGTAACCAGGGCTCTGCTGTGCCCCTGTGTGTTGTCCAAAACTCAAAGTGTTGGATAACAGTGCAGGTTCTCAGCTTGTACTTGGCTTGACTTGAACCAGGAGAACAAGAGCTTCCTAACTACATCTTAACTCAAGCTGCACTAGAAATGCATAATCAAGCAATGAATTATTACTACTTGTACTGCATTGAAGGGTAAAGCTTATGAGAGACATAAAAGCTTGGTTTTCAAGCTGAACAAGCAACACCATGCCAGACATTTAAATCTTCCAAGAGTCTTCTCACTGCAAGGTTATTCCAAGCTGCATAGAGCCAATAAAGAACTATAATGGATACTAGGACAAAGGCACTTTATGGAATCAGAATTCAGATTTGTCTTACAGACCTGCCACTACCTTTTTTTCTAGCATGCATGAGGTACTTACTGCAGTGATCTTACAGCCAATGGTCACAACTGTCACAGGAGCTGAGCTTGCCTGTTCACCATCCTTTTGGGCAGAAGAAAGTTCCATCACCTTTTGCAGAGGAAGTAGCTCCCTGTACAGGTTATTCAGTAAAGCAGGGTTATGGTGACAGCCCATTTTAACACCTGTCAGAGTTAATGAGCAAAAGGCTGGGAGTAGCTGTGGCCCTCCTGGCCACAGACTGTGCAAGGGACAGGCAAGCTTTGCTCAGGGAGGTGGAAAGACAGTGGCTCCTGGAATAGCAGGGCAAGAGCACTCTATCCTAAAGCAGAATTCTAAGTAAAAAGGATGCACACTAACCCAAACTCTCATCCTAGTCATTACTTCTAAGTTAGTTGCTGTCTTCCTCCCACCTTCCCAACACCAGTGGTGTAGTGATTATGAGCAAGGACAACAAAAATGTCTTGTACAAGGGACTGGAATGTATTGACTTAACAGGGTGATCTGTCTAAAACTGCGGGTACTAAATGCCTATGAACCAGCATTTTAGATCTTGGTTAATGCAACATGTCATTCAAATGGCAATGTTTAAATGTGGTCAAAATAAACAGGTGCCTTGAGCTGGTCTATCATTAGATTGTTATCCCTCCTTTTATTTATCTTACAGTATTTTAAGCCCTTCTAGAATGGATTGTAAGTTGAAGCCAGGATGTTTTCTTGAGTGAGACCTACTCCTCCTTCCTGTCTTGGAGTTTGTACAAAGGAAGATTTTTGTGTTGCTGTTAGACAGAAACATGAGAACCGAGTCCTTTCCTCAACACTTTAGATAGTGGGTTCAGCCCCTGCCTATTTTGTCATGTCTGTCTCACACCTCCCTTCTGAACATTGCAATTCAGAGGTCTAGAATTACCCTACACTGGAAGAACTCTGAACTGCAGAGGAAGGAGAAAAACTACTTGAATGGTATTTGTACAAGCTACTCAACTTATGCTGATATGAATATTTAAATACCAGCTTGTGTCTCAGATGATCCTTGGTACTTCAACATCAGAACAGCATCAGCAATACCAATTCTGAAGGAATCTCTTCATTACCCTCAAGCAAGGAATCACATTGCAATGGGAGCTATGGAAGAGAACTAGTGATTTCCCTGTAAAATGGTACAGATGAACAAGGAGCCAGTTGTCACCATCTCACCCCTTGCAGCAGGCTGGGTGTAATTCTAACAGCTCTGATGTTGTTTGCATCTTGCAGATGGTGTGGTTGCTCCCATAGGCCTGTGGCTCTGTAGAAAAACTGCTTACTAAAAACATGGGTATTTTTTAATACAATTAAAGCTTACCTTTTTGAAATGGCTGTTGCCTTGTCTTTCCTGCCACTGGAGAAAAAACACATCGCTGATTTTATTACAGAAATGTCAACTTGAGGGAAAACTCCAATGGTGAGAACTGCCCTTGACTCTGAGTGAGCCAGGGGCTGCAGAGCCATGTCCTAGGTGTCTCTGTGGCAAGCAAAAAGAGCAAAGCACAACCACCACGTTCCTTGGAGAGTGACCCAGGGCTCCACTGAGCACCTTCATTACTGCAAACCAAAAGACAGCACAAACCAGGTCCTGTCACCAGCATAACTATGAAAAGAAGTAGCAGGCTTCTATTCTCTTCAGTCCCAGTCAAGAGTTACAGAACAGCTAGGGCTGGAAGGGACTTTAAAGGTCACCCAGTTTAGCTAATTTGTGTCTCTGCAGTGCAGTCCAGGGAAGAACATTCAGCTTGGTTTCAGCATCCTGCAGAAACCCAACCCTGCTTCCTCTTTCAAGGCATTTTTCCTTTAAGATGTCTCCAGCAGAGGATGCTGTTGGAGCACAGGCTGCCAGGATTCAGTCCTTGACAGAGCTGCTGGAAGCCAACTCACTTAGGTCTGTATTTTGATAACAGCAGAGAGTCGACAAGTGAACTTAGACTAGACCACAGCATAACACATTGACCACAGACAATCACACCAGAAAAAGGACAATTTTCTTCAAGGCAGAATCATGTGAATTTCTCAGTTAGAATAAGGGCAACAGATAAGCTTGCCTAAGTCAGTAATACTTCCTTTCAGCAATTAAAACAAAGCTATAAACAAAAGCTCATAAAAGCAACAAAACTAATTGTGGTACTGAGGCTCAAGTGGATGGAGGTTGCATATGGAGTGGTGAGCACTGTTTACATTAGAGAAGAGCAATCAGCCACAATAAATAATAAACTTTATTTGGATATCCTTGCTGGCATCTACTACTGCAGGAATAAAAGGAATATTTACAAAAAAAAAAAAAAGACTCACTCAGCTTGTTAAAGAGTCTTTCCAAAAGTACTTAATACAGCTTTGGGTCAATGATGTTTTCCAATTTGCTTCTGTGCAATATACCTAAATTGGTCAAAGGAATACATTTCTACTGTGGAATTACTGGAACTCTGTGCTGTTGAATCTGGCAAGATGCAAAAATTAACAAATATATTATCAAGATACATATGGGGAATTTTTAAACTTGCTCCAAAGCTTTGTATCACCAACCTCCAGTTTACTTTGTGACAAAGTTGATAACCAACCATCTATTTTAATGTGGCAATTCCAATATTTCACAGAATTCCTTAGCATTACTCCCCCCAAATATTTTTTTTCCCAGGACCCCAGGTTTTGCAAGATTTTTACATGGGTAAAGTAAACCTAAGCTCTTAGAACACATGGACAAGTCTACTTAAATTTTACTTTAATATACAATTGCATTACAGCAGTAGCATCTGGCACACAGCACTCAGCCTGTAGTGCTGTAAATGATGTAAATGATGACTTCTTAGAGGAGGGGGAAGAAAAGATGCCATCAAGTTAACATGCATTTTTCAGAATTTTCATTTGCATTTTTAACCCCTTTGAGACCAGGCAAGTCATACACTTCCAAGGGAAGTACTTTGCACATAAAAATAGCCAAAAGGCTTATTAGTCTAGTGGGGTTAATCAGGTTCGTTAGGTCTCATGTGCCTTGAAGAGACAGACCCTGGTGAACACTGGCCCCTCTGCCATGAGCTCTCAATGTACCACTGCCTGCAGCAGCTGCTCTCTGATTTTGGGGTCACAGAAGAAGCGGAGTTTGCGGGGCAGGAGCTTCACCTCCACAGGCATCGCTTCGTACTCCTCATTATCAATGCCAAAGGATCCCTCAGTGCCCTGTGTGCAGTGAGTTAAACATCAAGTGTTATCTCAGCAATGCTGATTTTACTAATAAAACAGCCGCATACTTAGCTCAGTCCCAACCAAGATGACCCCCTGCCTCTGCCTTCCAGCCCATTTTCTCTCCACAACACAGGGAGACCTATCCTTCACCACACAGAATGTATTAAGAGTCTGGTGCATGAGATGTTACCTCACTTAGTTACTAATTAGTGATAATTAAACACTAGGAAGCTCTAATGACCCGCATTGTTTATACTGAAGGATTCTTTTCTATTGGAACTACAATTATGTGCACTTAGATCTTGGGTCTGCCAGTGGTGACATAAACTAATCTGCAGAAATGCCTGTTAAGTAACTTCTATTAAATCCATGTTACAAACCCCTTTCAGCTTTGTTTTACTATATTGATCTGAAACATGAGATGCAAAGTAATTTACTGGCCAGGAATTACTCAGCAGTAGAATTTTCTCAAGTGTTTAATGCTGATAAATCACCATGTGATTAAAACCATTCATCAAAATGGCAGGCTGACTACCTAAAAACAAATCCAGTGACTGCTTTGTGTGCCCTTGACTCACAGGAGGGCTGTGGGTACTCAAACCAACCCCAAGGGAACTGGGACACCAGAGCAGCACAGACATGGGGAACAGTACAAGTTCTGGCAGTCAGAGGTACAGCAAAGCAGTTCACCTCCATCAACATAAACTGGTGAGACCCATCTGGGCTGCCTCCAGTTCCCTCACTGGAGCTGGGCCATGGAGTCAAACAGCACTGCTCTGTACCATGCACCCATGTTCTAAAGATCTTAGCAGCAGCTGCAGTATGAACAGCTCATTTCATACCACAACCCTTACTTATGGCCCAGGTGTACTTAGTCCAGCACTGCAGAATATTCTTTCAGAATCAGAAATTTGTCATGATCTGAATTCAGTGGAAGCATTAGGATGCTGGTTAATCACAGCATCATAATTAATGATTTTTATTTGGTAGCAACAGATTTTTTTGCCTTTCAACAAATTCTTTATCCCTTAATATGGAATTATTTTGCCAAATGATAGATCACTTGGAAACAGAAATTGTCTATGAGATTGATTTAATGTCCTTGAAAAACAAGAAACTCTCATCCCAGGGCTGCAATAACAGCTCAGAGGCAGGAAAAGACTAATCTAAATTACACAAGCAGGCACAGCTTTGTCTTCTTTCTCAGCTTCACCATTTCAAAGTTTTGAGGCACTTCCTAATAACTGATCTCAGCTCCCCCGCCCTGTCTCACCCTCCTTTGTTTTTAATATTTATCTTCTTCTCTACAGCACAATGCCTTCTGGGGTAAAATGTACCCATCTTCAGTGCTAAGGAGATGATGATCTGCATATCACAGCATTACAGAATGCTTAAATCAATAGTGGATCATCTGGTCCAACCTCCCTGTTCAAGCAGGGTCATCCCAGAGCACATTGCACAGGATTGTGTCCAGATCATTCTTAAGTATCTCCAGTGAGGGAGACTCCACAACCTCTCTGTGCAGTCTGTTCCAGTGCCTGGTTATCTGCACAATAAAGAAGCTCTTCCTAATGTTCAGGTGGAACTTGCCATTTGTGTGCAATCAATTCAAGTAAGAGACCCCTTAACCACCATGACTATCTCCATAAAAGATCTGCCACTATTTCCTGGCAGAACAAAGCTCTCCCATCAGGTTTACAGACTACCTGGGGAACTTCAGTATGCCTGTCCTAGCAAGGGACTCATGGCTGCACTGTGGAACTTTGTGTCACCTGCAGTGTAATCAATCTCCCAGATTTAGAGTAGGGATTTCCCAAAGTGCAGCATCAACAGGTAGAGGAAACAAAGTGAAAGTTTTTCAGCTCTCCCAGCTTCTCACCTCTGGAAGTTGCAAGATGCATCTGCTGGCTTGGATGCACTGACTCCCTTCAGGGCACATGTGTGGGTCACGCATCTTTTGACTTCTGTTCAAACCAAAAGAGAGGTAAGGTAAGGACATGCTTCTCTCACAAACAGCTTTCCTCAGAGATGGCATTTTGTTGTGGTACATCACTAAACATTTGGTAAACTTAGAGTTATATACACAAATATTTGTGGGTTTAACTGTGAAAAAGTAGAAGAGTCCTTCCTTCTTCTGTTGCAGTCAATGCATATCATAATGCACCAACAGCCTCCAACCAGCTTCTGCTCTGAGGCTCACTAATTATATTTGAACACTGAGCAGTTTTGTGCTCTTCGCTTCCATGCTGAATTATGCACTTCCTGCAGTGACTACCATCTCCTCATAGCTCATGCAACTAAACTTACCAGCAACCTAAAAAACCTAAGCCAAAAAGATAGTAATTTAATGGTTCAATGTAATTATAATTCTATCTAAAAACAAAAAAAACACCCCCATTTTTCATATCAAAACCAATCAGCATGACATTTCCTATCAGCTGCTTCTGTTATCACTCATGAAGAAACCCTCATCATTTTATCCATTCCAAATCAACATATCCAGTTTTGACAGTTTCTCTCTTCTAGTACCTGTGAGATTCTTATTTATGCACTATACTTAGGTAAGTGCTGCTTCCTTTCCCATGCCTGTTGATGTCAAAAGCAACCACATGGAATGCAGTTTCCTGCCTTGGAAAGCTGGTGTTGCAAGTGCCACGTGGTCTATTTCAAGGCTTAGGCTGCTGTCCTGTCACTGTCTCAGCTGTTACAGACACTGAGCTGTGATTCCTCGTCCCCACAAGTGCTGCTGCAGAGTGAGCACCAGCTCTGGGCTGTGCTGACCTTCCTCTGGCCTCCTGACTGACCACACAGGAACCTTTTGACTGACCACAGGCAAAGGACACACTGCACCCCAGGCAGCAACCTCTGAGTCTGGGCCCCTCTCCAGACAGACAGCAACACACAAATAGCAGAGAGAACAGCACAGAATTACAGTGTTAATACACCACAACTCTCAAGCATGGTGGAATTATCACAGATATTTCTCTGACAGGCAATGCCTGCTGTCCCCAGATTTCCATCTCTATATGAAGAAGGCTGATATGAAAGAAGGGTGTATTTTAATATAGCCTAGGAAAAGAACTCACAAAAGCATGTCAGAATTTTCCTGTACACCAAGTCTTCTATGCCCTGAGGAAGGCAGTGCCTCTAAAGTCACAGAAAATCCCAGAGAAGGATTATGAGAAGAGAGGGCTGAAACAGGAGATGAAAATCAAAGACAAAGGAAAAAAAACTAAGGAAAGGGCAGGGAAGGACAGAAGCAATATTAACTGTAGAAAGTTTGGTTTTAATCAAATATGTATACACTAAAAGATTGATGAGTGACTGTGAGGGAATTAAACATCCTCCAGCAATATAAATTATAAATCATTGATGGCATGCAATACTGTCAGTTTATACAGTGCTGTACAAACAAGCAGCAAGATTTCTCACTAAAGTTTAACCTGCTTGGAGTTTATCATACAAGGTCCTAGATACTAGATACATACAAGGCATACTCTGGTGAGCAGGCAGATTTTTTTGGCCAGTGAAGGCACATGAAGCTCTATAGAGATGTAATTATGGGGTCAAGGTAAACTCAAAAGAGCCAAGACATGGAATTAAAGATCAAAGTAGAACACTGGTAGAGCAAATAAGACAATCATCTGCAGTGATTGCCTCTCTAGTGGTCCAGCAGAAAAAAAATCATAATTCATTTCCTTTAGACTCTGCTCCTCACTCAAGACCAGACAGGAATGTGAAACAGATACAAGATCAGAAGTCTAACAGCAAGTTTCCATTGCTTGTTGCATCCCACTCTATGCTGGACCACAAAAACACAGGCAGAGAGAGAACCACAACACCTACTGCACATAACACACAACTAGAATATCATTTTCATATCCAGAAGTTGCCAATGTTAAATGAGTCAGACTAAGACCTCTAACAAAAAACCACAATTTTATGCACTGTGGATGATAACTGCAATCATGCCCTGGAGTGACAGCTCTCCACACTTTCCTCTACAGAATGTAAACTGGCTACCAGGATGTGGATTACTGATGCCACCCTTTCCATGCCTGCTCTCCTTCCCTCAGCACTCCACTGTAAACAACTCTTCTTCTCCCATCTTATTTAAGCATCTATGGCTGCTGTGGATGCTCTTGTTCACACAGCCAGAGGGCACTTTTATACGCCTGGGATGACCTCCTCCTTTCTTGGAAATGCAACAGCAGCTGCCCTCCAGCACACTGATGCATCCCCACACCTCCCCAGACACACACACTGCCTGAGCCTCCATGGCACTCTCCTGCTGGATGTGTGGTGACCCATCAGCTCTCATCTGCTCATGTCAGTGCCCTCTCCAATATAAAAACCCCTTGTTATCTGCACTGATAAGGTATTTCCCCTAAAAAACCTTTTTCAACCCCCCAAGTTCTGGTATTTGAATTGCGCAGTAGAAAAGAAGAAAAAAGAGCTGTTTCACACATCTCCAAAGACAAACCCTGTTGCTGCTAGGCAATGGGGGGCCTCTGATAATGGGCTTAACTCAACTCCAGCTGGCAAAAGCACAGTGGGACCTCTGAACACCCTGATTCTGCCTTGAAGAAACAGGGCACCTTTTCTCTGCTCTGACTCCTCTCTGTACAACTAACCATCCTCTCCCACTGCTCCCCCACACCTCTCTTTGTCTTTCTTGGTTACCTACAGGCTTTTGGGCACTATTTAATCAAAAGAGCTTGTTTCTCTGAACTTTGCTTGAACAGCTCAAAGCTTTCAGTACTGCCTCTAATTAGCTCTCAACAGCAGGGCTGTGGTAATGCCCCTCAGAGGCTTTTTCTGCATGACACTGTAACTGCAGTCAGAAATGAGCCACACTCCTGCAGGGAGCATGTCCAGCCAACACAGGAGGTATTATTTACACTGGGAATACACTTGAATACACCTCCCTCAAGTCACACAAGCTCATTTATTTTTTTCTGCCAATAAAGTGTTTGAGAACCCAGAATAACATCTCCTTTATGAGACCAGATTCCTCTTGGTTTTAACAAGAAAACTGCCTCCTCCTTTCCCTTTGTAGCCTTCAAAGCAAACAAATCAGTCCCAAGCAACCACAGTCCACATGCTCATGCAATTTAAAAGCAGCTGCAGGTGGTAACCTGACTTACTGTGTATGCATGGGTCTGAAGATTTTATTCCCACTGGGGCTCCTGGGAGGCTCAAATAAGGGGCCTGAGTTGGCATCAGTATCATAAACAAGTATCTTGCAGGAATTATTAGAGTGATGACAAGCAGGTAAAACTGCACTGAAATCCCCCCATTGATTTCACTAGAGGGAGCTCGAAGACTGAGAAAACAGCAAATGAAAAGGTAATATGGAGAGGAGCTCCCCTGGATTCAGCAGGAAAATCTGTTGCTGGTAAAACCTGCACTGAAGATGCAATGCATTTGTGAGTGGGACTGTAAAAAGGAGCTGGAAAAGGCAGCTCTGATTTGCTGTTTGTAAGAGCAGGAGGAACAAGCACACTACAAGACAACATCACAAGCACAAGGGAAGCAGTAACATTCACTTTCTCCACATGCTGCTTCTTTATACCTGCAGCCTTTCTTATTCCACATACAAGCAGGATCAATACATTTGCTTAAAGTCCCTGTTTAAATTCACACCTTCCAAAGTTCTTCCAGCTCAGACCTAATTTCTCACAAGAGCTACTGAGGCAAGGAAGCTTTTCTTAGAGGACACTCTAAGAAATTCACAGTTCAAGAATTCCCAGGTACCACTAGTACAAACAAACCAGCTCTGTGATCCACCTCTCAATCCACTGAGCAGCTAGGGCTGAGAGATTCTGGGCTAAGTCTGCACAGCTGCCTATAAAACTCAGTAAGGACAGTAATATCCAAACAGTACTGACTTACAGCAACAGGGGAAAACATGAAAGGTATAGCAAACTCAGAAGCTAGGAAGAACTCCAGCTTCTGAATACTCCAGGTTCTGGAGTTCTGCCTTGTTTACAGAAACAGAAGATGAGTGAGAATTTTAAAGAATAAAAGTACTAGTCCCTGAGAACAGTACTGGCTGATGTGCTTTGCAGTCCTCTGCTTCTGAATTTTGCAGCACAGTATGAGAGAAAACCAGCACACTTTTCAGACACCCTGCCCCCTTTTTGCAGCCTTGCCATACTCACCCTCTGTGAACAAACTCCCCTTTGCTGACACACTCTGCCTCGATGCAAATGTCCATGAAGTCCTTAGTGCGCTGTGCAAAAAAGGATTCAGGAATCAAGCAGTTAACATCTCAAAGTGCCACACCCATGACACTGCAACATGTTCACACAGTGGCCACTCCTTTGTCCCCCAAAAGGAGGCAGAAGATACATTTCTGCAGTTCATGCTTTATTCAAATCTCAACTTGAGATTTGAATTAGAAATTACAGACTGTATTTTCCCATTAATGAATATTCAATAAATACCACAAGAAGCAAAATAATGAGTCACACGTTTGGCTTCTTGTTACATTTAAAGACAATAGCAGATCTCTTAGGCTCTTATTTAATTTCTATTCAATGGGTCCTTCATGAATTTAAGCAATAGTACAATGATAGAACATTTGGCCACCAAACACCACAGTAAGAGGATTTTAAACAATACAAATTGGAAATCAAAGTGTCCTTGGTAATAATCCTCTAAACTCCTTACTTAGCTTTCCCATTCACAGCCTGCCCTTAAACTGAGTATACAATACAGCTTTCTTCAGGAAAGCAATTTTGATTAAGACACAACTTTTTTTTTAATGCATTTTAATATTTTTGTCCTGGCAAAAGTCATAGTGAGCAGATGCAATCAAAATGACAGAAGCAAAAATGAATGCATCTATTAGTGTAACTTGGTCTATTCCTTGATTTATTCCTGTGCTGTTCTGTAGAGGCACTGCCTGAGCTGCACCTGTGTGGCTTTATCAGCTTCCCTTCAGTGGGGCAGCCTCTGCATGAGTCTGAGGTGAGAAACAGACTGGCTGGCAGCAGCCAGCAGATATGGCATGCCTTGGTATTGATTCCAGAGAGCTGCTGGGCAGCTTTGAGGACTACAGGGACAATGGTTTCAAGAGAGAGACTTGAATGCAGTAATAAGGGATACACACTTGTAGAAAGAGAGTATCAGTATCAAGTATGCACTATCAAGATACTTCCTACTCTAGAAACAGGAAAATACAACTGGCCTAACATGAACTTGTCCATTTCTCTAAGATATACAAGAGACCTGAGAACCCTACATCACTTCCTTCTTTTCAAAACCAATATTAAAGTGCCTCCTGAAGGCCTAAGGGAGGCAAAACAGACAAAACCACAGAAAGAGCATAAGGGAGTTTGTGGCAATCAGATACTTTTTCTGTTCTTGGTAGGTGTGTTTTTACTTTACATCACTGGCTCCAATCCAATTGAACAACCAAAACTCTTCTGTTCAAGTGCCACCTAAAAACCACTAAAAAATACCCAAATACTAGTCTCTGTCTAGCTTCTACCATTACTAAGACACTGACAGTCCAAATCATAAACCACAACAAAGAAGAAACTAAAGTTCATGGTGGTATATTCTAAAGAGAAACTAGGAGAACATTAAAAAACTATATTTGTCTGCTTGGGCTCTTTTGGTCTGATCCTACAAGATAACATATCAATATAACTCACATTTTTATGCTCTTAAAAACCATGACTTCTAAGGAAGAAATATGTGGCAGAAAGTTCAACGCCCCCTCTTAACCTGGGTATAGTGGTAAGGGTTTCCTGCCCCCCCTGAGGAGGAAACGTAGGGAAGCTCACAAGTATAGGATCACTGTGTAAGCATTTTCCTGTAAAATTAAAGACTGACATCTCTCCAAATAGCTTTCACAGCAGTAAAATTGCACCAAAACACAGGCATGAGCCAAAGAGAGGTTCTAAAACAGTGTATGAACAGCATGAACGTGCTGAGAAGGTTATGACAGGAACAGTTCCTTTGATGCCTTGCTTCTATACTTTCAACCACCTGCACTTCCTTTCCTTCAAATCAGTGTAGCCCATGTCCTTTCCCTAGTACCAATTATTTTTAACTCCACTCTGCAAGTCTAAAAAAGAGAGAAAAATAAAAAATTCCAGCCAGACACAAAGGCTCAGCTTCCTTCTAGCAGTAGCTGATAAAAGAGAATCACTCTCACATAAGTGAAGAGGGAAAGGAATGCTTCTTGGTGCTTTTTTTACTCATGGGAAATCCTAAAACTTCTGTTTGGCTACTGAAATCTTGTGCAAATTCTTTCTGATCCCACTGCATCCCAGTTTTACATTGGTCTCCCGTGCTTGCACACTGGATCTGAAACTTGCCCATTTCTCAATCATGGACCTCTTCTTCCACAAAGCAGTAAATGTTATTTATATACACCCAAGAATGGGAGTTCAGCAAGACAGGAAAACTCTGTGGGCAGGCAGCATTTGGAATCCCATTATCTTATGGTCTTACTGCTAGATCAAGTTGCTTGTTCCGAGTTGCAATGGAAAGCTCAATGGTGGACAGCTTCAGCTTCTCCCAGTCCTCAGGGGCTACCTCCTGGGGGAACTCTGTGCAGCAGGAAGAGAAGGAATCAGTCATTCAGTGCAATTTAATGACACACATCACTATGAAGCAGATGCTAGACACAAAATCAGTCTGAGCCGTTCTGGCCACTGGTTTTGTTACTCTAAAATGTCAAAATCTTAAAAATTAAAAGGGAGCTTAGAAGTACTGAAGAAAAGAAATAACACCATCAGCATTTGCATAGTATCAGAAAAGACTGTCAAACACAGTACATCACAGCCCTGTGAATCCTCATGTCCAGGGATTGACACATCTCCTGGGCTGGTGACAGGAACATTTAGAAAACCCATGAAATGCTAGCACCAAAAAACCAGGAATCCAATGTTCAGGAGGCTGTGGTAACATTTCCTACAGGAGGAGCTCCACAGTTCAGCTCTCGTATCCAGGCCACTTAGTTCATGCTCCTGCATGAATCACCTCTGCTAGCCAAGGAGGAATGAGGCCTTAGCAACAGACTGTGCAGAATACCCACTCTCCTTCCTCAACCCAACCCAAGAGAGGCTCAGAGAACACAAAATTTATGGTATAGAAGGAATTTAAGGTACTAAGAGAAATTTGGGCCTGGCCCAAATGTTACTGTTCTATTTACAGTAAAATTTGTTGCTCTGTGTCAGCAACTCCCCCCACCCTGGAAAAACAAGGGCTGCTCCTCTCTGCCCAGCTCACTAAGAAGCCATTCTGCTGGAAGATTATTTCAAGAAGCTCACCCAGAAGTGCCAAGTATCCTCAATGGATGCCTCCACTGCAAAGGTAACTGTGAGCCCAGGGAATGCCCTGGGTTCTCTAAGTGAGTATTTGCTTATGAGACCACAAACATCTGTTCCATTTCTGATAGACGCCACTATAACTGTCTTGACAAAAATCACAGTTTAAAGAAAAAAAGGAAACAAACAAATAAGAGTAACAAAAAAGAGAGAGCAGTGAAGTAGATATGCCCTCCACACAACACAGCCCTGGATGTGTCAGAGGAGCAGAGCCTGCCTGTGAGTTGATGGCAGAGCACAGCCAGCCCACCTTTTGGAGATGACCAGTACGATCGCAGCCGTCGGTAAAGCCTCACATACAAAGGAGGTCTGGATGATTTCTCCTCTGGCTCCTCTGGAGGTCTCTCAGTTGGACCCACATACATGAGACAAGCTTGATGTTTCTGAGGCCACTCCTTGGATTTACATGGAAAGAAAAGACAGAAGACAAAGGGCATTTTGTTTAGGGCATGTCCTGTTTATTCTGTTTAATCCTGTAGGCTGTTTACTGTGTACTCACACATAGTCCTGCAGAGCTACTCAGGCCCCCCACACTGCCTCTGCCTATTTTATGGCTCTTCAGTCTCCAGGTTCATTGGTGAGATGACAACTCTGCAGTTTCAAAAAGATTACCCACAGTTCCCAAATCCACTAATCTAATCCTTCCCTGCACAGGAGTGAGGGCATTTTCCCCTCCTGTGAACAGAGGGTGAAGGGATGTTTCCTTTGCTGCTGATGTGGCAGGGTGACACAGCTGCTTCTGGCTGGAGGGAACAACCCAAACCAGCCAGGTCACCAGCAATGTCTGAAAGCACAGCTGGTTTCTGCATGGCAACAAGGCAACCTCAAAGAGCAACTGCTCAGCACGATCCAGTGCAAACAAAGCCTACAGTGCTGTGTGCAGCCAAGGGGCACTAAAACCTGACAGGCCTTTGTTCTCCACAACTCAAATAATCCAGACCTGATAGCCAGGTGCTTCTGAACAGCAACACAACAGCTCTTAAGGCAAGTCATGTGAGCTTCATTAGGCAACTTAAAAAAAAAAAAAAAAAAAAAAAAGAAAAGTACTAACACATTCTTGGTGATATTTCAGATTCCAGCATCAGGGCTACAGAAGAACCTTAGCTTTCAAAATATCTCTAGACACTGACAAAATTTACTTCCTGTCATTGTTTTGAAAATAATTTCAGAAATGCTCCAAACATAGGACATTTAATCGGTTTTTAAATTTATATACTAAAACAACACAGCCAAGAGCCCACATGAACTCTGTACAATTATTTTTCTACGTACAAAATTTCAGAAGTAGTTTTTGATCATGCAGCACAGATTGGTAAACTAATTCACTTCACACCTCTGAGAGCAAAGAAAGACTCCACTCTCATACCTACATAATAAGCAGGACAAACAGAGGTTGTATCAGTAGGGCAGTACACAAACAATAAATATTAATGATTAAATGGAAAAGCAGCACTGCTGTGATAATTTAAGCTTGTGTATTTTAGAAGAGATGATAACATTCATAACAATGCCAATATCAGAGGTGATATTTCCAATTACACTTTTTTTCAGCCACAGGTCATCCTGTTTCAAGAGACATCCCCAGTAAAACCAGAAAATATGAAGCATGAAGCAGCAAACAAGCCAGGAAGAGATTAAACTCAACAGGCTGGAGACACTTCTTGTAGAAATTAATAAAATCATAACATAAGAGGCACATAAATGAATGTGAACATCACAATTAGGTGAGATCAGGTAGAAAGTTTTCTATCTAAATAGCTGAAGAAGTGGCACTTCTCTTTAACCTTCAGCAGGTTAAACAGATCTTTTTAATGTACAATTAATAGCTCACCAGAGAAATCCCCTATCACCACCTCCATCTGAACCTAAGGACTCAAAGAAAGTGAGAAAGGAGGTGGACAGAAAACAGGTTTTTACTTAGAATGCCAGAACACAGAAGCTTAACCTCAAATTTTCCGTGGATGAGAGGGGGGGAAAAGCCATCCCAACTTTTCTGGATACATTACTATTAATCCCCTATACAGGAGCTGCCTCTAAAGGAAGCACTGGCATTGTCACAGACAGCATGGCTAGACTGCACTATTTGATCTGCTGTACCAGCTCCTGGGCATTTTCACTGCCTTTCAGGAGGCTCCTTATATGCTGAGAGAAAAGGAAAACCATGTGAATGAAAACGCCTTACCTTTAATGCAGGTCAAATTTAAATCTTTCCAGGATCGATTTTAAGCAACAGGAAAGTTTAAGGTGAGATAAAAGATATTCATCCTCATGTTCATTTTACTACACAAGGAAGCCTGATTATCAATGTGCATGAGCAGTCTAATTATAGACCCTTCTGCCAGATGAATAAATCAGAGTGAAATGTTATTACAAAGACTGTTGAGAATATGTGGCTGAGCACTTTAGCACTTCACCACTGCTGCTTACCAGTTTCACAGGGGGTTACTGGCTTCCCCTGGTGCTCTTGTAGCAAAAATTAAAAAAAAAATAAATTTAGAAGTATTTTTCTTCTTTGTCCTCTCTTCAGAAGTAAATCTATTAATTGGTAGGCTTTTTAACAAGCTGGGTTTTAGTCTCATTTCATATTGTTACCAGAACCCTTCAGGAAAGCTTGCAGACATATTATACAAAGCAAAGTCAGGCTGCTCATTTCCCAAACACTCTCCTGACAATTAATGTTTACCTTAAACATACTGAACAAATGAGCTGCTTTGGTTTTCAGAGGCCCAAGGTACCAGTACCTGGAAAAAGAACAGAAATAGAACTTCTAAGATATTCAGGGATCAATACTGGGAAAGGGAGAAACTCTGCATGAAGTCAGAGCACACAGACTGAGTTAGTGCTCCCTGACAACCTTTACCCTTTTGATACACTAAGATAGTTTCTACACATCACCAGCAGCCCAGCAGTGACACCCCTATCCTGAGTTACACATCACCAAAATGCAGTGTATAATCTTCACTACAGGCAGCAGGACATCTCACTATCAGAATTCTACTTTGTTATGTGAGACAACTGGGGATGATTCAAAGGTCTGTGGTCTAACAGCTGATGGTGCGCATCTCCAACATGCAATACAGCATATTTCCAAAGATTGGAGTAAACAAAACCCAAAAGCTTCAGTGACAAAAGAACCAGCAAACATTCATAAGTCCCAAAAGATTCTCACATCAAAATCAGGGTTTTACAAAATAAAAATACTGCCAGCCACACAGCACTGTACAGAATCTAAAGATGTGACTGTATTTAGGCAGGCTTGGCACATTTTGATCAGTGTCATTCACCAGAGGGTCAACAAAGCACATTGAACACCACCAGCTCAAGAATTCTGCAGATTTAAGGGTCTCATTAATCATTAAGGCATGCAAATGTGCCACCACTCCCCTCAAGCCATGAAATTGTCTGTAAAATAGTAACATAAGACAGCACTACATCTCCAGCAGCACAGTCCTTCGCAGAGGGACTGTCAGACAAACTTCTGGAACTGTGTCTCATGGCTTAACTCCCTTTGAGTTCTTTTCAGTTTAAGATCAGCTGCACTGGAACACACCAAATGCTTTTAGCCCAATAACCCATCTTTCACAGGGAGCAAAAGTGGATGAAGTGGGAAAGTATAAAAACAGGACCAGCACATGAGGATTTTGTTCCAAGAAGACTCTGAGCACTTGTTCATTTGTTGCTGAAGTGCTTTCCAAGCTGGACACATTTCTCTGCATTCAAAAACATTTATGGAAGGAAGCAGGGCTTGAGGATGTTCGTGTGCCTCATGTACCAAAGGAGCTGTCATGCCTCCAGCACTGAGCCCAAAGGACTCTTGCCAAAGGGAAGTGCTGCAGGGAAAGATGCAAAGGCTGACACCAGGAGAAAAGCAGGGCATGGGCAGGAAGGCCAGCAGGAGTGCAGAGCAGAGAGAAGAGCACTTCCTTGGACTGGGGGCTGCAATCAGCAGGAGAGCCTGCAGCACAGCCAAGTCAGCACCTACACAGCCCACTAAGAATGTCCCTGGCCTCCCAGGGACCAACAACCTGACTACTGCATCTCCCCCATCCCCTCTTAAACCTACTCAAACATTTGCCAGACAAACTCCAGAGGTCTGCTACCTCTTCCTTCCTGACAAAGGCAGCTCATTCACAAAGCACATGGTATTTCCTTACAGCTTTTACTACATTTCCTCCATAAGAGCTTGGGGAGTGAGCTGCTTTGGCTCTGCTGCTCCTTCAGCAGATAGTGCCTGTCATTTGATACACAGACACTGACATGTTAAGTGTCCATTTGGAGAAAGCCCAATAATTATGAGTTTAGCATTCTGAGAACAGTCATCAGATAGCACAGTCCATGCCACTTCTGGCAGGAACCTGAAGGCATTTCTACTGCATCTGATGTCCCTTGCTGGAATTGAGTTTCAGAGTACACACACAGCTTTTCATTGGCAGATGATGAAAAACAATGGCCAATTACTTTACTTAGACTTTACTCAAGGGAGAGATTTTCCCTCTGAACAATGAAGTTCCAAAAGCAGATACCACACGGCAAGAAGAAAGTAAATACTTAAAAGAACAGGCCAGCACCCAATATTTATTTCAAATTACAAGAATTCTGATACATCTTACACTCCCATGTGTGTAATGCAAGATCCAGCAAGAGTGGGTGCCTCTGCCTGTCAGATGCCTACATTCAGAAAGAGACTTCCTTGAGAGAGGGGAATGCATCTTTTTAGGCAACAGATACTAAAAAGGGCACAGTTTCAAAAAATAGTATTTTCTTACTTGCTAGCTTTAACTCCTGCATCTCTATAAGATCCCCATCTTAAACCAGAGACTGCAAACACAGGCTGCTCCTTTTTTCCCTGTAAAGAAAAATAAACATTGCAAAATTGCTTTCTCTTACTTTTTTTCCAACTTTATTTTCTCAAGTTGGAAAAACAGCATCGCTACATAAAAACTTCTGTTAATTTTCTACACAGAAATTTAACAGAAGAGGTATGACAAAGAGCTAACAGCAATAAAGCTTAGCAGAATTTAAGCACTATACATTCCATCTGCTCCAGGGAGGAATATAAGAGGAGAAGTTTTGAACAGGTAGCCTGAGTTTGACTGCACACCCAGCAATGGCCATTTCATTTCGTGGATTTGACTGTTAGCCAAAAGCAAGGAGCTCTGCACAGCAACACAACACTCTTGCTGCAGAAATGTCCATTCTACAACTGAACAGAAAAATAATATTCAGAAACCATACAAGGCATAGTCAAAGGTTTTCCAATTTTGTATTTTTCCATTTGTCAAAGAAAGCTATTAACTTCACAATCCACATGAAGGCATCAAATCAGCAGACAGCTACTGCTATCTCTCACCATTGCTACAGAAACACCACTGTAGTAAGTTTTGTATTCACCAATACTCTCTGAGTCTCAAAGAAAGGCAATGTTGAGGCATTCTAGTGTTTTCTTCTGTTTAGATTGTCTGATGCCATAGCACATAGTGGAGAAATGACTGCCAGCAGAACTGCTGATATCAGAAACTAAAATTCATAACAGCAAGTCACAGAGGAAAACCAGTCCATGTGAACACAAAAACATCAGAATGGGAAAGCTTTAGAAATGTTGGTTTCCAAGTAAGTAGATGCTTTCACCTTGATCTGTAAGACATCAAGTGGAACTGTCTCTCCTTTCAAAATGGCCAACGTAGCATTAGTAATATGTCTGCAAAACAAACAGGAAAAAAGCAAAGGAAAACAAACAGGAATAAAGGAAATGAGTAAGCTTTAAAATTACTTTTTTTTTTTTTTCCAGCAAATTCCACTATGAGTCCAAGTAGGGCTTTTTTTCAGCAAAAGTAAAAACCCCAGGGAAAGGCGCTGCACTCAACTGAAATCAGAAAGCAAAATGGCTGGTTGCAACAGATGACAAAACCTAACAAACAGCAAAATACAGAAAACAGTGAAAGGAAATTATCAGCCTAAGCTTTTGAGATAGTCCTCCTTTCTGAGCTAACCTGGGAGGTCAGAGGCCAACTGTGTTACCTCCTGTTTCAGATATTAAACACATTAAGGACATAAATCATGGTTTTTATTTTAGTGGTAGCAAGTATTACAGCCTGGGAGAGCATGAGACAGCATGACTGGTCTCAACTCATATGTCTGAGATTGAACTGCATTAGTATGTGCTAATTTATTTTGAAGTTTTTAATCAATGTAAATCTACCTATCAGCAGTGCCCACATTGTTTAGGTCACCATTCAGTTGTGGACAGTAGCCAGGGCACTTTGTTATTTCAAGCTGTAAAGATTTTGTAACCAAAGTCTCTAAGTCCACTAAATAGTCTGTGCTCAAACCTTGAAGCATATACTTGATTGAAACCCCTTCTTTGTTTTCAAAGTTGGGCAATATTTAGTTTCCATACTGCATACGTTTCCAGTGTCTCAGCTGGACAAGGAAAAAATGCAGTTTTCAGATCCAGCCCAACATTCATGTGAATCAGTGGGAGAAACTGCCCTTGGTTTCATCAGGATTACAACAGTGAGAGATACGGAAGCTGTTCTTCCCACAGCCCATCTTCTCTCCCAGCTCTTATCTTTCTCTAAGTCCTTTACAGTTCCTACACTCCTAAGAGAGTGCTGAAGGATCCAAAGTCCAAATATTTCTTCCAAAAATATCACTTCTGCACTTCCTAACTCAGGTTCTGCCACTGGTGGGGGTTGTTGAGCAGCCTATTGACCAAATTACCTTCAACTTCTCCAGTGTGCTGCAGTCCCACCTGCACAGTTCATTACCTTGGCACAAGAAGATCATCCATTTCAAACAGCTTCTTTAGAACCCAAACATAAATTATTATTTTAATCTTAGCTGCTGAATACAGCCTTGTCCACCTTTCTGAGCTTCAAAGCATTCTGGTAGTTTTAAGGAAGGATGTTATGCCAGCTGACTTGTGAGTTTTATGTATGATGGATACCAGTAAGGGCTCCACAAAGAGAACAATGTTAATGAGTTACTGGGAGAGTGAGAGTGAAAATATTTCAGGACCAAGAAGAAATATATTTATTATTATGAGAGGAGAAGAAGGGAAAAATTGAAAAGAAATGAAGTGTGGGGAAAAGAAAGATTGACTCTCTTTTCTCTATATAAGTGGATAAAACAATCCTGCAGCAAACTTAACTGCAAACAACAGATACCACCAGACTGGATCATATTGAGGATGCTGAAGAATTGAGTTGTTGGATTACTGCCAGCATCAGTCCCACCACAGGGAAAAGTCAGTTCTGCCCTGCAAAAGTCAGTAATGGGATCCAACCTTTCCCATATTGTTGTATGCCTTACTTTGCAGGTTCTAACCAGGCTATATGTGGACTGGTTTCTAGAATTCTTAGACTGGAGAAGGGTCAGAAAGAGGACTTATTTTTGGCTTATTTTGTCAAATCCTTGCTATAACCTTGTCATACACTATCTGCTATTCCTAAGAGGCTGATCCTTTTAATCCTTTTTTAAACTCTGAGCATCACACGATCACCGAGAAATTAGCCACAGCAAATGATTTCCAATAATACATACATTTCCTTCTTTTAATTTTTAGTCAGTTTTTGGAAGTCATTAACTCAGGTAAGTCCAGAGAATCATCAGGCTCTGCCCAGAGACTGCCAACTTCTATGTAACACAGAAGAAAAAGAAAAGCATCAAGCTACCAAGAAGCACTGCTTCTTGAAAGCAACCAACCACATTTCAGAAATATGTGATACTTACTGGACTTGATTTGTGCACTCAGGGTACAGTGTGTGGCTCAAAGTGCAAGTTTTTCCAAGCGGTATGAATCCTATAGGAATCTTACTGAAGGCAGCCTGGACACATAAGGAGAATAAATTAACATTTGCATGAAGCTTCCTGTGTGGAGATCACAGCTGTGTCTGGCATCACCCCTTTGGCACTGAGCACCAGGCACTTCCTCACACAATGACTCAGAACATGGCACCCAAATCTGTGAAGCCACCACTGCCAACTGGGTACAAAGGAGCTCTCTGTAATCATTAAGGGCATTGTTACATGCATTTTGGCAGCCACATCCCAACAAATGCATGGATTCTGTCAGCAATCTTCCTTAATACTGATGGAGCCATCACAGGCTCTGAATCCCATTTACCACAGGAGAAATCCCCCTCTGACAGAGTAACCCTGCACAGCAAAGAGATTTTCACACTTAAGGAAAGGAAATTAATTGATTCCTCTGCCATCCAAATCATGAAGCAGCAGAAGGTCCAATTTTTGGAAGCCACTGACCATATTATTTTTCTCCACAGCTGCTCAGCAAAAGGCCTTGTTGAAGGAGCAGGTTATTACCCTGTACCTCATCTCAAACCTTGCTTTTTGAAGCATGTCAGCAAAGCAGTGTAAACTACCCCATAGCCCAGTGCATCATGCCTGTCCTGGGGGATGCTGCCAGCAGCACCAGCACACAGCCAATCTGCAGCCACCTGGGAATTTCCCTCTCACTGCACACCCAAGCCCTCTGCCCTGCTGTGTCTGTGTCACCTGCAGGCGCTAACACTCTCCAACACCCTGCTCTCATTTTCTTCAGCACTGCTCTGCAGTGTGCAGATAAGAGGCTGTCTGCAGCTCCTGCAGTGAAGCTCTGCTCCCCTGGCTGCCAGGAACAGGGTCTCTGGAATCCCCTGCACAGGCTCTCATGCAGGCAACAGTGGTGTGGCACCCCCAAGGGAAAAGGGAGGCAGGGCACAGAGAGAGGGAGCTCGAGTGCACATCTCTACTCCTAGGACACAGTGACATGATGGACAAGAATTCCTTGGCCAAAAACATGAAGTGACACAGTGGCAATATCACAATGCAGCATTCCATCCATAATTGTGCTGGATGCAGAATTCCCTACACTACTGCAAGACAATCCAGGCTACATCAAGATAAGAAGCCAAAAAATAAAGAGAAAGCAGCCAGTAAAACCTCTAAACTTTGCTTCCACTATTGTCAGATTATAAAAGTCTCAGGATCCAACTATAATAATATTAGATTTAAAACAATGATGCACCAGAATTGATATAACTAGCCTTCCTTTAAAAATATTGACTTGGTTGCAGAGTCCCCCTTGTCACATTCAGACAAAGCAAATGTCTGAACAGATACAATTCTAGCTGCCCAGTGTATCATCATAATCTTGTCTGGATTGTCTAACTGAGTTTTAGCCAGCTCCTGCCAGAAGGTTTTGGGAACAACGATTCCCTCCTTTCTTCAATAACACTGTCCTCCCACTTGAAAAAGAAACATCTCTCTCATTTCCATTCAGAGTGATCCACCTTGAGAGGTTAAAATTTGCTTAGTACAGCCATCTGCATAGGAAGGTATGTACTGCTTGAAGAAACAGCAAAGCAATCCCAAAGCAGTAGGAGTGTGACCATAACTGAAGTCAGTTTCAAGCCTGTACAAACACAAGAAAAACATGTATTTCTGCCCAATGCTTCTGCCAAACAAAGTGGCATGCACAGCTGGTCCATGGGTCTTTGAAAATTGAGCATTTGGCTTCTCCACAATCCCTGCTCTGACACTGGAAACTTCCCAAAGCCATGGCTTGGGAGTCACTGCCCTCCTTCAGAAAGGGAACAAAGAACAGCAGGCAGCATTGCAGGACAGTAGCCCAGCTGGATGGCTGCACAGAAAGCTGGCTCCAGAGTAGCATGCAAAGTATTTGCTGGAGGCAGCTGAGGCCAAGAGACCACAGTGGATGCAAAAGACACTCCAAGAAATAAACACAGTTTTTAACATGACACCTTCTCACCTCATCTGCTCTACGGAGAAGTCCAGTTATGACCTGAAAAACATGGGAAATGCTCTAAGAATTTTATTTTTCTGTTACAGTAAGAACAGATTAAATTCTTAACCACATTTAATCTTTGACATTTAAGGAGCAGCTACCCTTTTATGGAAGGTGTTACAGTTGTTTACATGTGAAAGGAGGAATGTTCAGCCTGCAAACATGTTGGAAACAGCAGGTTTATGAGTGTGCCTGAGTACATGCTGGTACCACAACCAATGCCAGTGTAAATGTTTTAACACTGAATAATGCTCTGCATAATGCAAAACCAGCACTGGTCAGTGCAATTAACACAAGGCCAGAATGACCTACAGCTGTATTCTGATCTCTTTCTCTTAAGGTCACTGTATTCATTAAGCCATTGTCTTATGAAATCAGTAGTTAGAAATCAGGAACTGCTTGAATAAAATACAGTCTTGAAAAAGAGAGTATCCCAGTTCTGCTCCAGTCGTTAATCATCTTGACAATAGGCATTTATTAAATACGTTCCAAGCTTTGTTATCATTCCCACATAATTTTTAAATTATCTGATTCCCACTTAGCAAAACATGCATTTCTCTTGGGGAGTTCATAGAGAGGAAGGAACTTTGAAAATCAAACCACTAAAACTACATCACACAGAAAGAAAAAGTTAGAATAATGTCCCTCCAAAGAGTTTGCTTATTCCAGAATAAAGTTCTGGAAGATAGCTACATCACACACTCTTTTTGTCCCCCCTCCCATCATCTCTTAAGACTAATACCAACAAGCAGAGTGTTCTGTCCCCAGAATATTAGAACATTTACTAAAAACACAGATTCTAACAGGACAGATCTCTAGGAACAGTTGTTATGATGCTGCTACATTGCACAGACTGAATCTTCTTGCCCTCAGCCCAACCATGATTCTCAACAAACCAGGCTCCTGCAGTACCTCTTGGACTGTGCCATCTCCTCCTGCAACAATGATCAGATCTGTGTTTTCCATCATTTCCAGAAGCTGTTTTGCTTGTCCCTCGTAATCAGTCTGAAGAAACAGAGATCAAAACATGAGCACTCAAATGACTATTTTTAGTATATCTCTTTCATGGAAATAATCATCTATCCATTTGGTTAATAGTTATTTTTATATAGGCACACAGTACTGTATATTACTTACATTCAGAGATTTTTTTCAACTTATAAAACCAGATTGATGCATAATATAATATGTGCAAGTAAACACATACACAGACACACACACAGAGGTCAAATGCAATATCAGAGCAAATCTTACTCAATAGATCTAGAATACCACAGTAACCATCTTATTCCCAAGTAATATTACATTGAAACAAATCCAGGAGCCAATCACTTGCAGAAAAACTCCCACTATCTTTTACAGCCAAAGTGCTCAAGTGCATCTCCTGAAACACAGCATCAACTACACAAAAGGCCACTGCCTGACAGCCACTGCCAATGGATTTAGCAGTGAAGAGTGCTGACTTTTTAAACCATTAAAACTGTTTTCTGCAAAATTCATGTCTTTTACAGAATCATCTCAGCCTCACTTCCTTGCCCAGCCCTGTTTTGCCAACTTGTCGAGTCTAACACTACCAAGCATCAGTTTTAAGTCTTGCAAAATGATTTCTTCTCTTAGGGTGGGACATTAGGTACACTTAATGATCAGAGAAAGGGATTCATAAAAAGAGCATTTTAATACTAAACCTTATGGAAAAGATTCCAAGACAGAAATATGCATATCAGAGTACCCTGCTGTTAGGACACACTGACTATTAAGCAATCCACATATCACAGCCTCAAAAAAACTGCAGAAAGAGCAGAATCCCTTCAATGTTTCCTTGTTCTTCTCTTTCCAAAGGAAACCTGTGTGTTTATTCATAGCATTTAGAGCTCAGTGCTCTGCTTTCATGGTGGGAATGTTGAATTATTTGGAGAGACACAGAAATAATTTCAGTGTAAAGATAAAAGGTTATTTTAATTAATCTGAATAGTTCAACTGCATGTCAAAATTCCTCACTTTTTAATTCTTCAAGTTCAGGCAGAAATGACAAATTTAACAGCAATGGGCACGCACCACTAGCCAACACTCAAATATTTAGAGAGTTTTTTCTCAAACATGAATTATAGAAGGGCTGCTTGAGACAGACAAACAAGCATATGTACTGCTTTAGCTGAAAATTAAAATCTCGCTACACTGTTTGAAAACCAACTGTGAATTAAAAAGATTAGGTATCTGTCTAATATCTCAGTATTTATTTCTTCCTATAAGATGACTACAGGACAACTGAGAATTTCAAATGCATACAGACTTAAATTTCAATACTTCAAGAGGAGAAAGAAGAGTCAATATTTCCACAGCAGCAGGACCTATCAGTTCTTACCTTAACAATAGTTACATCCAAGCCAGATAAGTGCAAGATTGGTGCAGCATTCTTTTCAAAAAGGTTCCCAGCTTTGCTAGAAATAACAGAGTAAAAACTGTTTAATGATGCCTGTGGCTGAAAAAAAAATTAAAAAGGAAAGAAACAAATGAATAGCAAGAAGAAATCTACTTAAAACCAAGCATTCAAGCTCCACAATCAGTCACTCAACCTGACAGTGAGGAAAGATGAGCTTTCATATGGTTCAAATGCATTACATTTCTAGTCTCATATCTCAGATGTCAGGGTTTTGTTGTAGTTTTAATAAGTGCACAAGATGCTGTCTAACTTTTGCCAAAAATAATTTTAAAAATCCGTTAAAACAAATTAGGATCTCCAGAAAGAAATTTATTAGAAAATGAATTACTTACAAAGCACTAGCCTTTAGGACCACAAAGAAGCCCATATAGGCTTTAAAAAGTATTTTTTAAATCCTGATTATTTATTAGTACATATTATTAAACAAGGTTAGAAGCAAAATTCTGTCCTTTTTTGTAGTAGGACTGATAATTTAATGCCTATCATTGCATAACAAAATAATTATATCACTAACTATAAATTGTTTGCAAGTAGAAACATGAGACTTGGTTAATACTTGGTTAATGCATTTTCCAGACTCAAAAGCATGTGTCTGAGCACTTCCATGTCAGCTATAATATTCCCCTCATATTGGTAGTAACAACTCTCTGCCCCTCCACAAAATTGCAACTATTCCAAAGTTTATTTGATCAGCAGAAACAGACACCCATCAGACCCAAGATGATGTTTTTTCTTTTAATGAGCATGCAAAAATAGCAGCTGAGCTCTTCCAGGAGTCCTGCTCCAAGCCCATATTTAGCCTCTCAGTTTGTGGGCACATCCCTTTCAAGGGCAGGTTCCCACAGAAGTAAGATCACTTCTTGCCAACTTCTAGACTTGAAGCAATCAAGGTCATCTCTTACTTCTATAGTTTTTGAGGATGGAAATGTATCACATACAAAAGTTTGAAAGGAATACAAAGGAATTCTATATACAAAGGAATGACAAGGGCCAAAACACAGAATTAAAGGAAAAAATTAAATAAATATATGTATGTTTAGAAATCATTCTTCCATCTGAAGCAATTAATTCTATTTCTCATCCCAGTATTCTTGGTGAAATAAAGTTTGGCATAGTTACATAGCACCAGCTTGGCATCAGAGGGAGGCAAAAATGAGCTCAAAAATCTGGCTGGCTTTTATAGTGGATAGCAGAGCAAAAATGCAGAGAGAGTGCTTAAAAGGAGAGTGCTGGGAAGGGGGAATTTTACCCTTTGCAAGCTGCTGGGTTGAGCAAGACTGTTGCTTTCTTCAATGGCATAGTGGCAGGCATCAGCTGGTTGCCAAAAGCCTAAGGAAGAGAAAAAGAGCAGGGCTCAGTTTATCTTTTAAGACACCGCTAAAACAGTTCAAAATAACTCATCTCTACAAATGTCAATGGGCTTTCAAGCCTCATGACATTCAAATGACTTCCATCTCCAGCCACTGTACAGGTCTCTTACTCAAAGACCCACACTCTCAGCAGCAGCTCATATCACTGTCTAAGTACTCTTTAGCCCATTTTTACAATTCCACCACCATTTCATTTTTGTCAACCTCTGGTTTTCTGCAATGGGCAGAAATCCAGGGAGCTCTCCTTGACTCCAAGGTTACTGGATTTTCTCTCCTTATGTAATTCTCATACACCTCCCTGCCACCTTCTTTCTGCATTCTTTCCAACTTCTGAACTTTAAATCCTCTATCTCTTCTACTCATTTCAGTATTTTCTATGCTTCAGTTTTTGAAGACAGGAAAGATAATTACAAGAGAATCTGCCTTGACCTATAAGCAAGTCCACTGTTTCTTAGACTTTTTTAAAGCTAATCTCTCTCTATAAAAATCATTAAATTCCTCCTCAACTTTTAATCCAATTCTGAAGAGGTGTCTCAATTTTAAATTCTTTGAGAGTTTCTCCACAAAGCCTCTTGCACTTTAGACCTATTTCCAAAGCTGTTCAGCACAGGCAAGGAAATGCAAAACTTCCACATGTTCTATCCTGCTCTATAAACTTCTAGAAGGTCACTTAAAGGCATCCTCACACCAAATCCAACTAGATTTGAACACAAGGAATACAAGGCATCCAGCAATACCATCCAGAAGCCCCACATGGAGTAGGAACCAAAGACTACCATGCTGAACACGACCCAGAGAACTGTTCCTAGCTTTTTTCCCCTTTCCCTAGGAAGTTAACCCCTAGCAGGAATTTTTATATTGAAGGACGTGATACTGTACACAAACCCCAGTATATTTAGTGGCTGTTAGCTATTTAATCTTATTATTAATTGCACTTGCAAACTTTGCTCAGGAAACTGTTGTCACCTTACTACAGGGGTTCCATACCATTGTCTCCTACCACAAAGGTTTCACACCTTCTTGGTGCTTCTCATGGGCATCTCCTCAGAGCACGGACTCTTCCTTCTTCACAAAGCAGCCACTGACTTCAGTTCCCTTCTCCCCCAGCCACTCCACTCTTTTATAGCACTCTTCTTCTCATTGCTTACAGCTGTGGCCTGTTAAAGTCAGGCCTGCTCCTAATCTTTGATAATTGGCCCAGCTGCAACACCTTAGGGGTAAGATTACTTTCTACACTATCTTTATTTTCTTATATTATATCCCCCTACAGGAAACCTCAATTTAAAGAAGGCTACAGCTGGCTGTGCTGCTTAAAACATCCAAATTTCTTCTTCAGGAAAGAAAAAGCATGAGAGAAGTTGCTGAGAGTAAAGAAATCTTCAAAGAAAGTGAAACAAATCAATAGCTCTTAAGCTTTACTCAAAGATCAGCTGGAAAACAGACCAACTTATATTGCAGTTGTTGGGTGGGAATTGGGGAATAGGGGCCCTCTAGCATGCTACAGCTGTTAGAAACATCTAATTATTTGCTTAGGGGGCACAAAATAATGTATTTGCATGCTCCAAACAATCTAGCAAGGCTCTAAACAACCCAACAAGGCTCATAAAGATTTTATTAGTAATGACATTAATTGCTTCGTTATGTAATATACTCAGACATTTATGTTACATACAGGGGCATTTCTAAAGCAAATGCTGATTTGTGAGACAGGAAATCAAAAAAATAATAATGCAATATTCTAGAAGTCTTTCAGAGCAGAACATAAGTAAAGACAACTTATAGTCATACTATAAAAATGGTTATTAAATATATATATATATGAAGGTATAATTTAGGTAAGTCAGTGCCTTTTTCACTTTCTGGTCACAAGCACACTTCCAGGTGTTATATTTCTGGACTTCTAAAATGAGAACCACTATTCTACAACTTAGAAAATTTATTTATAGAAAGATTTTATAGTGCTTTATGAACACCAGCAAAGGAACTACACTCTTTTACAGGAAACTATCCTTGAGTGAATTGTTTGCCAGCTAAACAGCATCTCTTTACACGTGCCCAGAGTTCAGCAACAACAAGGTCAACCAGCAAGACTGATCTGCCAAGGAAGACTGAGTCAGCTGACACTGACTTATCCCAGAGACAGAGGTGTAAAATGTTAAAAATATCATAAATGGGTTCTCCATTATAGAATCTTTCCATAATCATTTGCTACACCAAGGCTGTCATCATAAACTGGTATTTAAATTCAGACACACGTGGCAGAACCTTTGCATGAAATACTGCTGTCATGGATTCTGTCTCAGGAAAGCAGCTCCCTCACCAATTTGATAATGTAACAGGCTTAAAAACCTAAAAATCCAATGTAAAAATAGTAAGAACTTCTCACACACTTCATTCAAACTAAACCTTTTCTTTGGTGAGTTTGTCTCTATTTTTTTTCCAATACTTATAATACAGCACTATAAAAGTAAGTAGCATTTTACAAACAATTTTAGATTGTTGTTATTCTGAAGAATACCAGACACTTAATGCCTTAATGCAGTACTGCTGTGTGTTTTCAAGCACTATTTGGCAATGACACATCAGTGAGAATGGAAATTGCAGCAAGAATTGATTACTAGGCTTTCTGGTTCATTCCTTTCTAATGCAGGAGTCTTCTGCAGGACATTTTCTCAGGCTTTAACCACTAAAATTGCAGGAAGCTCTACTGACAGTGCTTTTGTATTTTCATTTGTAAGAATAAGTCATAATGGAATAGAAGCTGTCACTTAATAACTGGATTTAAGAAATGGGAAATTCAGGATTTCCACAACTGAACTATCTGCTGGTACCTGTCTTCTCCTTAGCACTTACACCTTCCTTTTCACAATACACACAAACCACTTAATCAACTCCTTTGGTTGAAAATTTGGTTTAATTTGGTCAGCATGCTTCAAATACTGAGGCATTAATGGTTATTTTTTATGATACAAAAAGCTTCTATCACTTTGTTATTATGTAGTAAAAATGAATAGTGAAAACATAAGGACTCTGAAATTACAAGTATGGTTTATGAAAGCAGTACTTTCAGGGAAAGATTTTCCTTGTTTTTTCATGAGCAGTGAGTTCCCTTACATCTATTTCTGGCATGAAGATCCATTGCACAAGACAAGTTGCTGTGAAAATCTTTCAACAGCAGACAGGCTAAAATTGGGATAATTCAGGTGCACAACACTTTTTACTGAGAAAAATAATTTTCTCCATTCTACTCAAGCCCCAGTACATGGCAATGATGGGAGCAGTGTTACATCCTGCAAAACATCAAAGATCTGTCATGAAGAGGCAGGTTTAGAATAAACTTTATTTGTGGGAGGTAAAAACTCTTAAAATCCTACAGAAGTGATGTCATCCATGGGCAGCAGCACTTACACCTCCAAAAGACTGCTTGTTAAGGACAAGATTTCTTTGTGGGAATATTGCAGTATGGGAGTTTGTTGACTGCTGTTTGCCCATGTAGGACACAAACTAAGCAATGCAACAGCCAGTACCCTGAGAGAGTAACTCTCCCCCCTGAACAGTGGCCTTCTTGTCACTGATCAGCAACCAGGCTGTCCCCATGCAGTTCCCAGGAGATGGGTCCCAAAAGAGCTGGGTCAGTCAGTCATCACAGCTGGCACCCCTGATAAAGTCACCCAGGGTCAAACACACAAGGGCACTGACACAAAGTGGTTTGTGCAGCTTCTGCCCAGCATCCACCCCTCCTGGTGGGGCTGGGATTTCACTCTTATCAACAAATTATCTCCCTGCCAGAGGTTTACAGGCACAGAGCAATTGCACATGCAGCAATGGAGGTCTGGGTGCTCCAGCAGCAATTAAGATCACCCCAAGGATAATGCTGCCCTCCCCTGCAGCAGCAGCCAGGACACACAAGGGGCAGCACCCCTGGGCATCCAGGGAAAGAACACAGATGATGGCATCATCAGGAGGCTTGTCACGTAGGAAAGGCCCACTGGGAACAGCTCAGGAGCCCTGCACAACCAAGATAAGAGGCAGATTTGAATCTAATTTTATTACTTTAAACAGTATTACCTGGGCTTCTTGGCATGCAGCTCTTCGTAGCAGGTTATCACTATCAGGTAAGACAGAAAAGAGAAGGGACATTATGTTGTGTAAGTTTAGAACAACTTGCTCATTTTTAAAATGTAGGTACATACCCTTTTTACACACAGTTTGACAACACTGGAACAGAAAAAAACCCAAAACATTTTAAGGATAAAACACCCCCATTGATGCACATTTTTTTTTTCTGCATGTGCACATTAGCATTATTTCTACAAAAAACAAAAGCAGAAAACAAAGACCAGGATGCTAAGTATGCTGAGATTATGTAGGCTCTGGCATACTGTGTAACTGTGATTTATTTATTAAATTGCTACATAGCTGTACTCCAGAGCTCAGGTGTGGGTTTTTCCAGTGTTCTTGCTGCCTGGTGTTTACACTAAAGGTACTTACCATTCTGGCAGGGTGGAAGGGTTCTTGAGAGGACTTAAATCTTCATGCATTACAACTGTGAACTGCCCTTTCCATCAGTTTGCAAGCCAAAAACACATTAATGCAGCACCTCCCACTCACCCAGGTCTGAGCATGGCCCAAAACAGTAACTCAGGTGAAAAACATTCATTGCATTAAGTGAAGGGTAAAAGAGAGATGCTCAGTTTTAGATATGTCACAGATGGTCTGTTCAGAATTATGTTCCTGACTTGTCACTGGCAAGGGTGAGGAATGAAAGTCTATTCGTTCCCCAGCCCCAAAAATGCCCTATTTCCCCTTGCAGACAAAATGCCAAATACTGTTCTGCTGTGCCCAGTCCTGCCTGTCCTCCAGATACCAACACCCTCCATCCTCCACTTGTCCTTGCCTAATACCTGGCCCGACCATATATTTTTGTCTCAAAATATCACATACAAAAACCCCACTTACAGTCAGCACACCAAAACAAACACTGTACCAACCAAAAGGATTAAAGGCCAGACAAAAGCAGGTGGCTGGGAGAACAGCACACTTCTGCCCCAAAGTGTGGCTCACCAGATCACACCCTGCCATGGAAATGGCAGAGGAGAAGCCAAGGCAAGGCCAAACCCAAGTGCCATCTATTTGATTCCACTGGTTTACAGTATTTATCTGTCACTGAAACTATACAAGCTGCTCTTTTTGGCATCACCAAGAGATGCTGCAGTGCCATGAAATGAGAAGTAGGGTGACTTCAGGTGAGATATAAAATCGGGTTCTGTGAAAATAACTACGCCATAAAAGCCACAGATTTATTCCTGGTAATAATGAAAAGACAAAGGAAGAGTTCAAGCATGGAAAAAGAAAATATGTGAATAATACCTCATCAGGATAACAAGTAACTGGAATGTCTGCAAAAGAATTCCTCAGAGGCATGCTGTCATATTTGCTCCTTAAAACCAAAGGAGTAGATAATTTGTATTAAGCATCTGCAATATCACTTAGAGGAGCAACAGCCTTGGGTTTGATTGCAGTAATATGATGGAAATGCACCAGTTAAAATAATAACTCTGCAAATTCCAGGCTGCGGCCAGCAGTGTCACAGCTAATTCCAGACAATCAACACAGCCTGACAGGCTGAGTCCACACTGTGTCACTGAGGGCACGAGCCCTCACACAGGGACATTGTCACCTCCCTCCGTGACTACGTGTGGCCAAAGCAAATAGAAAATAATTGCAATTTCAATACATAAAATTGAAATATGGGATATCAAGGAGCCCCCATTATCAAATGATGGCTGCACAGTTGATGTCTTTGAGAATTGCTGTCCTAACCTTCTGAACAATTCCCAGTCAAGCCCATGTTATCTGTTTACTTCACATTGATGCTATTTTGTTCCCAAGTCAAGCTCTGTCACACTGTCAGCCAGGCTGTTTTCCTGTGCCCCCAGCTTTATGCTGCAGCGTTAATTGTCTTTAAAATGAAGTCCAGCAATACTTCCCAAATACAAGCAGAAAATACAGTGTTCTCTTTCTCAACCTCAAAGATCCTCAAAACAACTGTCAAGGATTCACCTCAGTGAGTTTTACCCATAAAAATTAAGCTTGACAGTTTAGATGTCAACATTTATGCTGATTTTCTCCTGCACTGAAGCACTTAAAGAGACAGAAGAAGCCTACTTTGACACTTACCATTTTGGTGTCAAAGGAAAAGTTTAGATTCTGAGACTAGAGGAATCATTTACCACCCAGCAATTTCCAGGTGATTTGTCTCACTTCTCCAGCAGCACAGCACCCAGAATCCCACACCATCCCAGCCACACTCATAGTGTTGAATCCCATAATTCAACTGGGATATTTCAAAGTCCTCTGAGTTTGTCAAGGATGTCCCAGGTTTGGTTTAAAGATGCCAGGTAATAGGAATTTTTTCATTTCCTTAAAATATTATGTCAACACTTAACTAGATTCAAACTCCAGAAAAAACAGTACAGATGCACTCAGAGGGATGCATTTTTAAGAACAGCAGTCCTCCTCCTTCATCACAGCTGCTGCATTTACTCACCTCACATGGCCCACCTAAAGTACCCCAACTGGGCCTGCAAGTCCTCTGCAGGTCATAACAATCACTAAATAGAGCTAGAAAAATGTGAAAAGCAGCTAAAAGGTAACAACTTCTTAAAGCTTTCTGCCTCAGTAGGTATTCATTCTCAAAATATGACTGCTCACCAGCTCCCAGAAAAGATGAGACTTTAATAACAAACATGAGATTTTGTTGATTTTTTGTACTTTATTGTCTACTATCAGGGAGTAACAAAGCTTTTTCAAGACTCCTCAAACATGAGCAGGTGGAGGCGGAGGGAAATTGCTCCACTGCCTTAAAGAATACAAAGATATTTCTTCTGACTTGCACCATATCCACAGCAAACTAAAAATCAATTTTTACTTCACGTTTCCCCCAAGGCCTTATCTACAGCATCTGGCCTTAAAGCCAAACAGACAAGCAGTGTTGCATCTGCTGGCAAACTCAGGGCTGTCTTCCTGCTGTGAGAATTAAGCATCACACAGCTTACAGCTGGGCCAACTTGCTTAAGCAGTAAAAAACTGGGAAACGGAGAGGAACAAACAGTGGTGGCAGGGTATGGAAGAAAGAGACTGTCCCAGGCTGAACCCAGAGCCAGAACATTCCCAGCACAGCCTCAAGGCCAGAGCCACAGCAGCTCAGACTGTGCAGACCAGAGCACCACACCAAAGGATGGCACCAACACAGAAGGGACACAGAGTGAGTGTGCAGAGCACACAAAGCTCTGAGAACACAACGTCTGTAGGACCTGCTCTGATTTCTCTGCAACACCCCTAGGGCAGGACAGCTGCCCACTGCTCCTGTGCTGAACATTTTCAGCTGGAATAGGGCATTGACGCTCTTACAGATGAGCACAAGATGCACACAATTTAGTATGGATGCTGCTCAAGATGAGGCGGAGTTCTGTGCCCAAGAGCAGCAGAAGCCAGGGTGGAAGGATAGTTCCCATGAGGAAAGTCACTCAGGGCTGCAATGGATGGAACAAGGAGAGGACAACAAAGCTGAACTGAAGCTGTTTGAGGCTCTCAGCTGCAGCAAGGGTCTGTCTTACATCCAACCAAAGCAACTCCCCTAAAAGTGATCACACTACAAATGTAAAGAAGCTCAGGATCTCATTCCAAAATGGGTTATCAGCATTAAATCTAAGACTATTAAATATCCTCAAATATGAACAAGTCTAAACACTTTAAAGTTTAGTGTCTGCACCAAACAGTTTTGTGAGGAGAAACTTGACCAAAGCTGTGCACACAGGATCAGTCCTCAGGAGCTATATCAGAACTCCTGAAAAAGATTTTATCTTAGCAGAGAGCTTTTTTGGCTGCTTCTAATACAGCAAGAGCACAGAATCCTCTTTACTGGGTATTAGAGTTTACTTCCATCTTGGCCTTGGAAGGGCATGAAAGACAAATCTTAGGTTTCATCAGCTTTACCTAAGACTCAGAATTTATACTCTGTTTTTTTGACAAAGTTTGGATGAAATGAAGTCAGCTACTCAGGAAGTATATGCAGAAAGGTGACAAAGTGAGTTATCAGCTGGCAAACACACAGAGACTAACATTCAAATTGTAGATAACAGCACCACTCAGGATTACTGGCAGGCAGTCAAAGGCTCAGGTGCTTTGCCAGCACTTTCTACTGAGAATGTCAATACTTTAATATATACAGAGTAAAACTAAGTACGTGATGAGTCCACTGCCTCAGCAGAATATCCAGGGTCTCCATCCTGCCATGGTGATGATCACTTCTGCAGTGACATCACTCTAACAGTCTGGACAAACCTGACAATCAGTTTAGCTGATGTCCATCATGCAGAGATTTCATTTCTGCTGATTTGGCAGAGCTGGTAACTCACTGCAGCCCCTGGGGCTACAAAGAACAGCTGCAGCTCAGTTCAGGAAAGGTGACCCAGGACATGAAGTTGAGAAGGGATTCCAAACTTGGTGAAAACTTTAAAACAATAAAATAGTAAAGATTTAGAACAATCAAATGGTACAGTCTTTATTTGTAATCACCCTCACCTGTGTATGTTAAGCAGAAGTATGTTACTGTGCATGAGCAGACATCTGACAATCTGTGCACCCTGTAAGCTTTGATCTAGGATAGTAAATTAAGTGTCCCTTGTACCTGTATCATGATATGCTACAGATTAAAATAAGCCTAATATATAAATTCATGCAATCCAGAGAAGCCCACATGTAGCAACACTAAGTTATCCTCCTACTTCTCAGACAGCACAAGTGTGTTTGCTATACTAAATGCAAGATAATGGATCTTTAAAGCATATTCTTTTATAAGAATAAAAGGGATTTTAAGATGCTTTATGGTTTTGCAAGAATGGCAATGGGGTTCTAGTTAACAGTAGTTCAACCAGACATAACTCCTATCATTTGACACATGAAAACCCTTTGCCACCTCCTGACTGACAGCCCTGTGAAGAGGTACCTTCTGCACTATCACATGCTCAGAAGGGCTGAATAACTCATGGCAGAGGGGGAAAAAGCACAAGGTTTCCTCCTTTAATTCTTCCTGCTCATCCAAAACTCCTTACTTTAAACCAGTCAGTATTTGAACCAGCACCTCCCAAAGTGAAAGGCTAACACACTGATGCAGAAACTAAACACAGCAGGAAGAAAGTGCCAGGAATAAGCAGCTCCTGAGCCTTTACAGTTATTGCCATCCACAACCTTCAGACCAGCTCAGTGATGATCCATCACATTCCAGTGCCTCCCTTCCCTTCACACTCCAGGGAGCACACACACCAGGCTCCACAGACTTCTGGGTGTGCAAGGGGGACACCCACATCCATTTCCAGGCAGGGAAGAGGCACTGGGAACAAGGCTGGAAAAGGCAACACTCTTCTTGTTCCATACAGCATCTTCCAAAGTCTTAAGGAAGAACTTCAGAGCTCTTCTGTCCCTGTGAGCTGGGAGAGACTGACCAGAGAAGAGCTGCCATTTATCTGCAGGACAGATTGATATTTACAATAGCTCCACTTAATGCAGGCATCATGGCTGCTGCATCCAAAAGAAGGAGGAACCTTGAGAAGTCAAAACACCAAATCACCTTCTCCTTGCAAGAGAAATATTTTGGAAAACCGACAAGGACAGGAAGAGGAATGCAGGATGGCAAACAAAAAATTTCTTTGGCTGCAAATAAATGACCAACATCAGCTACTTCCACAAGTCAGAGGCCAATCTGAGCCAATGCTGTGCTAAAGCAAGGCCCTTCAGCAGGAACTTGTGATGCCAGAAACCAAAGCACAAGACCTCCCTACACTTTAAATGTGTTCTCAAAGGGCAAATATCAGTCTAGTCAGGAATGGCTCATGCACAGCAACTGAGGCTCTGATGTGGATAACAAGAAGCCTCAGGGCCAACCCAGCCCCTACAGATTCTACTCTCCCTCTCCCAGTGCTGTCTGTGGCCATCTGTGCATGGGACAAAAGGCACCTCCCTGCTCCCCAGCACAACTGGGACACAGAAACTGGGAACAGGGAGTGTACCAAAACACTCACACCAAAAGCCATCCCCACAGGCTACAGAGAGGCATCCTGGCCTACTCCCTGCTGCCCACCTGCCACAGGGTAAGGTCCTCACCTCACAGAGTATCACAAAGGGCTCTTGAGACCACCTGTGAACTCTTCTTTACACTCTTGCCATCAGGCTCTTGTCATTCCTTGTTTTTCTCTAACCTGGATTAAACAACTCTCTGCAGGGAATGACCCAGAAACTGCTAAACAGTTGTCAGTGCTTCCAAACAGTGTTTAAAACTCTGAAAGCAGTAGCTATGGCCTGCATCAAAGTCTCACTGAGCTGTCTGTCATCACAGGATTTCCTACCTTGCATTCCCAGTGCCTCCTAAGGAAATGCTGTATTTTCCTTTACAGACAACAGGGAGACTGGAGAATGGGATATGTAAAATTTTCCTGTTAAAGCACCATGCCTACACTTGGGGTAAACAACCCCCATACACACCACAATTTAGATACCAAAGATTCCCTTTTTAGTTGTTTGCCTTTCATATTTTCCTCCTTATTCCCCACCACGTCACCTGTAGCACACTCCCCATTCTCAGTGATCCAAACACAATTTCACTGCTACCACACAAGAAATCAGTGTACATCTGAAACCACAGCACACAGGCACAGGAACTCCCAGACACAACAGATACAAGGGGGACACTGAGCCTCAGGGCTTCAGGTAAGAAGCAGGCAACTAAAGCAGATGTACCACGCAAAACAAAGGCTGATTTAATGCCAAAGCCCCTAGGTAAGAGGATGTGAAGAGAATATAAAAACCAACATAAACAGATTTATTTTCCTAATTTTTCCATGAGGCTTTGGCAGCATTGTAATGTAAGCAGAAAAGAGCATTGTTAAAAACCTGAGTAAACAATTAAAAATCATTAAGACAGTGACAATAAGCAGCAGAACCAAAAGTAAAAGCTTTAAGAAATAATTTGGCTACACCTCCTTTTCAGTCAAACGCATTACCCATAATCCTGAAGGACAAGGATTAAAAGATAAATATCAGGTGTGAAAAATGCATGTATTTCATGATTGGCTTTTTTGCAAATATTAAAATTGATATTATATGTGTTGTGTTAGAAAGTAATGCTGTATTAATTCTCTTAAGTACTGTGTTAAATATAGTTTTGGATTATTAAAAAAGTTAAAATAGAAACTATGCTATGTAGGATACTTTTTTTAAAGAAAGGACTTGCAGCAAGATAGCAGCCCCAGGACAGCTAAATCTTTCAGAGGAAAAGAATTTATTGCTCTCTTATCGGAAGAAACAAATTTCTTCCTGCCTCAAAGGTGCTGTTAGGATTCAGAGGAAGAAGCTGACGATGACCAGACAGAATCCTGTGTTTGAATGGAATTTATGCATCATGTATGAGGTGTATGAATATGCAACAGGCTGTTGTTTTAAAGGGTTAATCCTATGTTAACGTGTGTCGTTTTTCGGGCTTGTGCTGCCCAGAAAAAGTTACCCAGACGTTCATAACATTTTGTATTTATTGTCTCATATTGTCTTAATTCAATTTGTCCAAATTATTATTACTCTAATTGTATGACTATTTTTATAACCATTTTATTACTATTAAACTTTTAAAATTTGAAAAACAAGTGATTGGCGTTTTTCACATCAGGGACATTTACTCCCCAGGTAAGCAGTGGCAATGGCCCCACCAGGTATAACTTAGGGCAGGAGCAGCTGCCAGGCTTCTCCCAGGCCGGGTGGGTGACAGCAGCAAGGACCGCACCGGGGGTGGGGACAGCACAAGGCTGCCGGTGACAGGGCTCAGGAAGAGCCAGGGACTCTTTTTGTACCCTGGAGCCAGGGACTGCAGCAAACAGGAGCGGGGAAAGCCCAGAGGCACAGGACACCATGCTGGCATGGGCCACGCTCAGCACACCCTGCAGGCCTGGCTCCAGTAATCCCTATAGCACAGACTCAAAGCCAGCTGAAGGCACACGTGTGGCTCACGACAATCTTTTTTAGGTTAGAAGACAGAAAACCTTCTCCTCTCCAAGAGGCCCCCACACCGCTGATGCCAACCAGACATCCCCACATCCCCTCTGTTTAAAGCTCCCGCCGGAACCCGCCCCAGTCCTGCAACGCGGCCGGCGTGGGCAGGCAGGAAAGGCACCGAGCCTCCTGCTCACCCATCCGGGGGGGGATCCATCCCCTCCTGCTCACCCCTCCGGGAGGGAGATCCATCTCCTCCTGCTCCTCCATCCATGCAGGAGGAAGATCTATCCCCTCCGCCTGCCGGGGCCCTCCGAGAGCCGACCCCCATTTTAGCCGCTCCCCCTCCCTCCATCTCTCCCTCCCTCCATCTCTCCCTCCCGCCTCCCCGCCCGGCCCAGCCTGGCCCCAGCCGGCATTACCAGTGTTTCCCATAGAGCCAGTGTCCGCCCCAGCCCAGCAGGCAGGCTCCGAACGTGGATTTCTTCCAGTGGTTCCTGAGGGCCGCCAGCACTTTCGCCATAGTGCTCCGCCGCGCCGGGGGCCGCTGCCGTGCCCGGCCCGGCTCGGCTGGAAACGGCTCCCGCGGCCCCGGCGTTCCGCGCACGCAGCCGGCCGCGCGTCACCGAAACAAACAAACAAACGAAAAAACGAATTAAAAAAAACCCGCGAATCCCAAGGAAAAGAGTTTTCACTCTTCCCAGAGTCCCGGCGCTCGCTGCCCCGCTCCACCCCCCCAGAGGACCTGTTGCCATAGGTTCTTGGCTGCCGGCGCTGACGCTGCCGGGAGCGCGGGCAGATGGAGATGGAGCGTGGCGAGGGACAGAAGTGAACAGGTCTTTTTCTCACATCGTTACAAATAAGAAGCTTGACTAGGCCAATATTCAAGCAGCAATCAATTTATTCATTAATATGGTAAAGTATGAGCAATACAGCGCTGGGTGCAGTGGGGGAAGTTTTCCCTCCAGCTGCACACTGATAGTTGAGGCTTACAGGTATTTACAGGGGTACTCATAAGCTTTCACAGCAGTTTCTATTCCAATTTTTACTCATCAGCAGTTTTATTCCCAATTTTTATGTCACAATTCTATACACTATTGTGATTTAGTTTTTCTTAGGATGTATCCAAAAGGAGTATCCCCAGATGGTGGTGGACTGGTTTCCAAAAGAAGAAAGACGAATCCCATCTGGTGAGGTCCCTCTCCCCAGATGTGTGTCCACCTTTTAATTGCAAGGACTATAAATCTCATAACAGTGATGTTCAGCTTCCCTTGGTCGAAACTATAAATCCTTGAGTTGATGTTCATCTTCCTTTCTCAAGCTGCTTTTCTTTGTTTTGTTAAGGCATGAGATAAGCATATTTTCTTTATATATATTCCAAAGCCATAGTTTCAAGGATACAAGCAATATTCTAAGATTATACTTCAAAAGGTTATTTTTGCAGAACTCTTTAGGGCTTAACTACAAGCAAAGAGCAACATCCTTAATGCTTTAATTCCAATGCTCCTAAATCAACTAAGGTCAATTGCAAACAAAAGATGGGTTCAAAGGCCTTTTTCCATGCTTTACTTTCCTCAGTTATTATTAGAATTCGCAACTGTCCCATTGTCGGTCTCCACACATATTGCAATCACAAATACACACGTTGTCCGTTTGTACCTGACACAAAACACAGCTTTGTATTTCAAAACATCGATAAAAATATGCATGGTCTTGCCCCTGCCCGCACAAAAAAAAACCAAAACAAAACAAAAACAACATAAAAAACCCAAAGAAAACCCCGAACCTGCCAAAAACACCAAACCCAAACCAACCAAACAAAACACAACAACAACAAACCCAAAGAAAATCAAAACAAAACTCAAAAGTAAAATAGAATCACAAATAAACAACAAACTGAAAATATTCAATTCCAAATATTCCATAAAACGCAGTTAGAAGAAATGTTGTCCAGGAAGTAGGGGGGGTTTGCTGTTTAAGCCTAACCATCAGGATGGCCATAAGAACCTGGAGAAATGTCTCCAGTCACACATAGAAAACACCAATGTCACAAGGATGCCATGCAGCCATGAATAGCATGAACAGCCTGCCAGGGGAAGGTGGAAACATAAACAAGGAACAAGATCTGACCTCATCGTGGAAAAAAGCTTTGGCACAAGCTAGTGGTGGTAGCCTCTCCCAGCATGAGGTTGTAACTAGTATTGTCTATAACAATTTTTCATAAGGTAAACCACCCAATTGATCAAGGGAAGCCAGTACATGCAATCTTTCTGGATTTCAGTGAAACTTTTCTCAGGAAAAGCCACAAACGACAGAAATTTATGTCTAAAAGAAAACAGAGGAGCCCTGTAACTTTATTGGAATAAAGGCAGAGAGCGCACCGGGGCACACCCGTGGGGTTTTCTCTCTCTGGGTTTTGGAGGGTGCAGCCTCCTTTTACCACTCTCAGTTTGCAAACTCAGGAGAATAAGGATGCAGTCTGGCAGGGACTGGTGGGTAGGGTAATGAATGTAATACTCAACACTTTTTTTTTTTCTGACTGTTTTTTCCCTCTTACAAAATGCCATTTTAGCAATTCAAAAACATCACAGTCAATAAAATGGGGGTTTTTTTTTTCTTTTTTTTTAAAGCTTCTCCAAATCCTTCTCTTAAGAATGTCAGGATGGGATATGAATTGTAACATAAGGTGGCTGCTTGAGACTAAATTTGGGATTCTAGGTGTATAAAGGTCTGTTCTGCAAAAATCAAATTGATGCAGAAGATGGTCCAGAAGACACTCTGCTGTTAGTGATAAGAAAAGCTGATTAAACCCTATGGATTATTATCCCTACTATGTTTTGGGTTTTCTTTTCCCTTTATTTTGCAGAGCAGAAGATCTGGGATTTTTTTTTTAGTAAGAAAACATTAAATTATCTTCTCCTGATGAATATTTCAGGCATAACCTCATACAACAGCCATTGCTTCCCACTTAAATATTCCAGGTTCATCTGTCCACTGCATCTCAGTGTGCTATGTGCACTTGATGCAGTGCTGAATGTTCCAGGTGGTGTGGAGTGATTAAATGTCCTACTTTTCTTTCTTTTGGTGTTTGTCCTACTTTTTTAGAGGATTCAGATGGTATGGCCAACTGCTAACAGCAATGATAGCCTCAGATATTAGTACTCTCATCCTTTTCTTCACTTATGAAAAGACTGTGTGCTGATAAATGCTTTTCAAATTCATAATTCTCATGTGGTGCCACAAATAATTTACAAACATCTCTAACTTCCTATTTTGCAACCAAGTCTACCGAGTACAGTTACGTTCATTAATGATGTTTCCAAAACAAGCTTGAATTTTTAAAATAAACCCTCTTTAGTATTCAAATGCATATTCAGAGCAGTCAGAAAAAATGCTTAAATGTATGAAAGACCCGAGTATCTCTAAGATGGCTGAATGGCAATTTTCCTGTATTCATCACCATGAAAACACATCAGAGTTAGTATAAATGAGAAATCTTACCTCAGTTGCTAGTTGTCTTCAGCATCCCTAGCAGAGGGGCTTGACCCTGCTTTGGGCAGGGTGGTTGGACAGAGTGGGGTCCAGAGGTCCCATCCCCTACTGGGGCTGTGTGACACTCTCTGAAATTTTGGGTTGCTGATTTTTGATGTGGGGCTTTTTGAAGAGACTTTCCCTTCGAAGAAAGAGACAGTGCAGAGAGCAATGACAGATTGTGCACTTCTCTTTTTACTTGGCATTACTTAGAATGCAGTGGCCATTCTGAAATCCCTCCTGGCAAGCACGTATGTCCTAGTTTTTGGCTGTGGCTGTCTGATCCACCCTCAAGGTAGATCACACCTGCCATGCTGCTGCATGTACCAGGTAATTCTCTTTTAGCTGTCCTAGTTTTCTGCATGTCAGATCAATAGAAGCAGGTATTAGAGTGTGTGCAATGGAAAATGAGAGGATAAAGGATTGATCTTGAGCATCCTCTAGATTATGTGCTGTAGTTATTTTTTAGGCCATGTAAAATTCCTGCTCTCTTTTTCATAACACTGCTCAGAGGAGGCTGGAATGTGTGGTTTTGTTTTCTTGTGATTGCTAGGTGCTTTTTGTAAAAAACAGACTAATTCAAAAAGCTGCTCTGTAACTCTTAAACCTTGACTGGGGAAGTGTCACCTAAAATTAACTCACAAGTTGTGTATGAAGACAGGTGAACACCTCATCCTAGTTACTCATGTCTGACCCTTGCATGAGGAGTAATTTTTTATCATTCTGTCTCTACCATCAGTTCCAAGCCTGTTCGGAGGGGAAGCTTCAGATACATGATCATGCTTCAGGCATGTACTTATTTGTTACTTTTGAAAAGTCACATCCTAAGCCATCTCAGTGCTCAGCCACACAATGTGAAAGAGACAGTAGAGAGGTTTTTGTCTACTGCTTGGCAATGCCCTACAATAGATAAAGACAGAAAATCATTTAGTCTCCATTTCTGTCCAGCACAATCTGTGCCTATGTTTGCATAAAAAAGGGACCTCCCCAGTCCAGTGCAGTCCTTCTGTCATCCATGCAGCAATGGAGAATTGGGACCACTCAGCCTGCTGGTTATTCTGGCATTTGAGACTCGTTTATCAGTGCTCTGGGGGTTTGGAACAGCAGTGCTGTCAGCACATCCCGTGCCATCACGGTAATACTGTCTATTCAGGTGCTTTCTTACAAGTGAAATGCAAATAGCTGCTTGTGTTGCAAGGAGACCACATTTAGTGCTCTGCAGGAGCTGTGTGTTCGCTGCAGCGCTGCAGGTCCACGTTCCTGCCAGACCGAGGCAGCGTTGCCTGTTCGAGTCTGCCCACATCCCTGTTTTTCACATGATTAATGTCCCTGTGGCCAGAGTGACAGGGAAGAGAATCCTCACACAACCTTCAGGCTTTTGTGCAGCTGGTGAGGAGAGAAACGGAATCTAAATATTTCCATGTCTCTGACCCAGCAAGAGAGATTATAGTTTGCTTTGTTTTAATTCTACAACACCTGAACACCAAGCATGGTTTAAGCTGAGGGAGAGCCCTTTTTCTTGCTCGATGTGAGCAGCACTAACAGGATCCCTCTCCAGATCAGGCTGTGGGATGGGAGCTCCTGCCTTTCGGGCACATCCACCTCTGCCTTTTCTTAACCACAAGCCACAGGCACAGGCTTTAGGCTTGGCTGCAGGCTGAGCTCTTTCCCTTCCTGCCCAGAACAGTCCCTGGGCTAGCTGAAATCTCTGGTGGGCTTCCCAGTCTGTGTCTCTCTGCTTCGGTTCTTCTGGTTTTGTGTCCAGGGCCTGAATCTCCTCCTCCACAGTGCGTCCCAGGTCCCACTCCATTCTACCCTGGCCAATGATTTATGTAAGAGAGAGGAGCACTGCAGCCACTGAAGCTAATCAGAGAAAGTTGCTGCCTGTGAGAGGAGAGAAAGTTCATGATGGATTCTCTTGCCCTTATTTCCAGCTCTGCCTGGAGGTGGGATTCCCTGGGGCAGTCATGTCTGCAGTCAGTGCCTGCTCCACTGGTTTGGAGAAAGAACTGAATCACATTGGCAGGGTTTTTGGTTGGGTAA